AGGACTGCGCTCTTCTGGACAGAGATCTCCGCTGTTGTTCCCGGGATCTGCTGGAGCCACTCTCCTAGCTTGGGAGTCATTGCACCTAGTGCTCCGATTACCACGGGGACCACCGACACCTTCACCCTCCACATCCTCTCGAGCTCTTCCCTGAGCCCTTGGTATTTCTCGAGCTTCTCGTGTTCCTTCTTCCTGATGTTGCTGTCATTCGGAACCGCTGCTTGGGTCTTAATGCCACTATAAGCATACCCTATTATTGTTATCGAAACAGTCTTCTAACAAACAAACAGGTTATGATAATAAGCCTGTGTGTGTGTGTGTGTGTGTGTGTGTGTGTGTGTGTGTGTGTGTGTGTGTGTGTGTGTGTGCGTTTCAGAAGTGACACCAAGTCCCACACAATGTGACAAATCCAAAATGCAGAACTAATTTCAACTGACAGGTATGGTGGCTCAATTTAGCACTACTGTTGTCATGGTAATGCCATGCATTTGTCTGTGTGTACACCTGAGAGTGTGTATCCGAGAAACAACAGACTGTGAAAACAGGCTGACATCAACACCTAAGGCGACCATTATGCCAACGACTTGGAGATACACTATCTGACGCCCCGACTAACATTATAAAAACATAAATTCCTCATTAAAGTTGGAACAGTCACAGCAACAGGAAGGATAACACAGCTAGATAACAGTATTTTTTTATAATGCAGTGACTCAGATACATATTTATTAAAAAAAATGTCTTTGCAATGTTAACAAATGATCCATACAAGTGTAGATTCATCTAACTGCAACAATTAGTCAATTAAATGTAGTCAACTTTAATCACTGAATCTGTGAATAACAGTTTATACTCAGTGATGCACCTGGTTATAGATAGGATATGTGAGAATTAAAATGTGTTTTAGCTAATCAGACGTGAGGATTTCATGTCATACAAGACAGAAAGTGAAAAACAATTAAAAAGCTTCACTTTGATTCATTAAGGAAATACCAAGCATACTAATCAATAATATAAATGACGAGTAAGTGCATTGCAAGATAGGATATAATATAGAATATATACTATATATAATGCTTTTAAAATCCATCTGTTCGTTCAAAAAGCTCTCGATGATTTAATATATCTTGTGGCAGCCAAGTATGTTATGTAAGGACAGAGTTATGTCCCAACATGGCTATTCCACATACCCATCTCTAACCCAGGCAATCATATAGTCCCTACAAACTAGACAGCCTAGTACATTCAGCACATTCAGAAGATCTTTGAATTTCTTTGAGATGAGAAGATTCAAGGAACCTCAGAGGGCTCAGTGAAACCCTTCACAAAAAGTCCATTAACAGTGAAGAAACCTTGGTGCACATCTAACTGTCATATTTTTACTACTACACACAGTGATGCCATTTGAAAAGCCCTCTGGCTCAACTGAGAAATATTACGCTATGGTGTTATGAGAAAGAAGGAATATTAGCAGGAAAATTAGACAAAATAGTTCAACTGTCTTGTGCTATGTCAACCAGGTTTTCTTTTGCAACCAGGTTTATGCTGGAGTCTATCATAGTTGCTTCAGGCAAAAGAAAAACTGGGGTGCAGTGAATACCAAAATGCTGCCATAAACTCCATCTAAGTGTAATGAAATAATAAAAAACTAGAGTCCATAAAGCACTAGGATCACACCTGTCTCAGAGCAAGTTACTTCTCAAATCATGATCAAACTTGGCCTTCATTTTGATGTAAGATGCATATCTGAACCCTTTCGTGTTGAAAGGCAGACATACAAACACCTGCTTTTGTAGGACATGCACACACACAAGGCAAAAACAATTCCAACCTTACTACTGTGGTGAGTAAAAATGGCATGCACTTCTGTAACACATAAACGATAGTAACAAATCAAAACAAACCAACAGATGTCTAAGCATAACATCTAGTTTAATTAATAAAGACATTTGTTGCAGTAGAGAATTTAAAAGCACTGAGAGATGGCCCAGTCCCTTGGCCAGCTGGCTTACCTTGGGAAGGTATGCAGCATTTCGTATCCTGTCCACCATCTCCTGTCCGTCAGGGTGCACAGCCGCCACATGGGACCACATCCTCTCCCAGGTGACACTCTCGATAGGAAAACCAGATCGATTAACGTAGAAAAGAACCCCTCCATCCTTCTCCTCTTCCTCCTCGGGGGATCTCGAGCTGTTCTTTGGGGGAGACAAAGAGGAGGACTCCTGGGTGCTGCAGCGGAGGAGACAGTGCGAGCTGGTGCTCTTGGACCGGCCATGCCTGCTCAGCTTGGCTGTAGAGGTGCCAGTCCGGTTTGGGGAGTTGGGTCCAGTCATTGGCCCCAGGAAGAAGTAGAGGAGGAGGAGGAAAAGTTAGGGCAGGCAATCTTCCTCCAGCTACAAGAGCTTCTTTTTGTTAGTGAGCAGTGCAAAGCACATGTTGATCTTCAAGGTCTAACGTGGTAATGGGGGGAAAAAAGAAAAAGAAAACGCATTAACTCAACTATGCTTTTTAAAACGACAGTACATGTACATGACTGCACAGCAAGGATCACTACAAAAAGTGTTTGTATAACACAGTGGGGATTTTTTCAGGTACTTTCCACTGAATTGTTACAAAAAAAAAAAATCAACGTTATCCGTATTTAAGAAAAGGGGTGATTGTGATAAAGAAGCCAAAAATGCAGCAACAGTCGACAATAAATGTACCAAAAACAATATATGCATAAATAATAACTTCTGATTCCAGAGTAGCTCAACAGCTGATAAAAAACCTCTCCGAGCATTAAAAATCCACATTAGCAGTCATATAAACTCATGAGTATGAAATACACAGTATTTATTTTGCAACGACACAATATAGCAATCTGCGGAATGAATTGATTAAATCTCACTAATGTGTAACTTAACAGAGCAAAGGCAACTTAATGTCGACTTAAGTTTTTCTTTTGATTGAATCAGCTGAAATATCCCAACCGTTATCATCCTGACCGTATCGTGTTTTCCAGGAAGGCTTCTATTTCACATAAACAATCGGACCCCCGGTTGAAAAGGCATTTGATCTGAAAATCAGTCACCAAGGCGAGGTGTGTTCCATTCATAACAAAGCGGCGTTGTCCACCACAGGCTTTAAAGTCTTGTTTTGGTTCAAGGCTTTGTAACTTCACCTCTTCTGCTATATGTCAAGCTAGCACAAGCTAACATTTGCTAAGAAGGAATTAGAGCGCGATTCCTTTCAAAATAAAATCAGTACGTTGGTCAATCGTTTATAACAACTGATTACTGCGAATCACCAGAGAACACTCACAACTCCACCATTTGCTTGCCTGTAAGGCCTCTAAAACGTGTTAAAAGTAATTACGCACAGAACCGTAACGAAACAAATAATTTGTCTGTGGATATGTTTTTATTTTGACAGCGCCGTCCAGGACGTTCCCCTCTACTGTTTTTGCTAGCTTTGCCGCTGTATCTCGGAACACTGCGGGGGCCGTTGCCTCCCACCACCACAATACGGGGAAATTACCTCGTCTCTGCATTTCTCTCTGTCAGCAGCCTGCAAGGAGCCTCGATATCAGCTACCTCCTCAGAAAATCCAATTTCATGGTGATAAAAAACGCTTCTTTACCCTCTCATGTGATTAAATCATTGGGGATAAAACGGTCCTACTAGCGGCCACTGTTCTCCCGTATCTGTCCGTTGCTCGTATCCCCTACGGTTGCCACTGCTCAACAGCTTCTCATTGGTCGAGCTAACAAAGAGAGGCGGGTCAGAGAGTATTCGCTACCTTTTTTAGATCGGGTGGTGCCCTCTGATTGGTTAATTTTGATGGACGAAGAGGTCAACAAGTGATAGATCTGCAACAAATTGGATTTTCTTCCACTTGTTATAACTGTTGATTTGGAATATATTGTTTTAGGGGCTGGACGCTTTTTCTTAGTAAGAACGAGTTTAAATACATTGGAAGAAACCTAAGCAAATAGACTACAGTCAAATTATTCTAATGGCATAAATTTATAACCACACACATCCCATAATATAGAGTTATCAGTTTTATTGTGATTTCCAACTGTCAATAATGAATGCATTTTTTTAAATAACAAAAAAAATATTATTATTATTTTTTACTGATGTTACAATTATATGTGAAACATACTAGAAACAAAGTAGACACGTGAAAACCTCCCACCTAGCATTAGATATGTGGCACAATAATATACAGGACCTGTTGTTTTTTTTAAATAAAAAGTGTCATATTATGTGTGATATTTTTGTGGCACTCGACGCAGCAATATGAATAATGGGCTGCTACATTTGCAGTAGTAACGTAACTTGACTTAGAACTCCACCTTATGGACAAATTGTTTGTTACAGCACACAAACAATTTGGCACACCTTAGTCGTTTTCTCTTTTAAAAGAATGGCTTCTTGACAACCACCTTCCACTGACAGCACGTCTGATGCCACTTCAGCAAACACCAGATGAATGAACTGAAGGTCTAGCACTATTGCTAAGGAGCACTTTTGACAAGACAAGAAAGTGTTGCTTTTTGGAAGCAAAATATACAGAAATCAGAGGTGGCTCAAGACTTCTGCACAGTACTATATGGATGTCGCCTCCCATATAGTACTGACTCCCTAAACATGATGGATTGTAGAATAGTGTAAAATTATTCTACACCTATTTGGCTTGATTTACTCATAAAAAGACTCCATTTTGACATATAAGGAAAATCATCAGAGGGCCAGTAGCATTACAGTTACATTAAAGATTAAATGGGAAACAGGTCTGTATGAAAGTTCTTTGTGTTTTATATTCCAGCTGGTCAAACATAGACACTTAGAAGACTTGCTGAGAAGACTGGTGGAGTGAGGAAGGAAATGATGTGTGGGGTGTATTCATTTTAATATTTCAACTTTATTGTGGAGAAAATGAAGAAAATATTAAGTCTTCATGAACAAGAGAGAGATTAACATGTGCTTGTGCAACATTTTTAAGTTACAGTGAACATGTTGAGCAAAACAATCAACCAACTTATGAAAAAACTCATTGGAGACTCCATTTCCAGGAGAAAATGCTCACTTAGGCTATGTTCAAACTGCAGGTCTTAATGCTCAATACCGATTTTTTGATCAAATCTGATTTTTTTTGTCTGCTTGTTCACACTACAAATAAAATGTGACAGCAAACGCGCTCTAGTGTGAACCCTCAAAGCGGCCCACATGCGCATACGAAAGTGACCCAGGTCGGATTTGAAAGTATCAGATTTGTGCTGTTCAAACTGTCATACCATGATCGTATATGGGTTGCATAGGGTCAAAAAAGTCGCATTTGATGCACTTTTGCCTGCAATGTGAACGTAGCCTTAGATTCATGTGATGGAGCTGTACAAAAAGCTTAAATTTAAAGGATCGATATCAAACCTATGGCCCAGAGGTCAGTTCTGGCTTTGCAAACTCTTAAATTTCCAAAGAAGCCTTTACCTAATCCATTTTTTTCTCAGAATCTATTACGATTACTTGTACGTCATGAAATAATAACGTGATTCAGAGAAGACTGGTTCAGCGTTCAAATACAGTTTCCTTACATACGGGAAATAGCTCGCAGTTTATGAGGCAAAGGGCTGAGAGTAAAACCCACAGCTGGAGTCAGATCTAATTCATCCTCTGAAACTCCAGGTGCAGGGGTGAAACGAAAATGCTGAAGGAGAGTGGTGAAGAAGAGGAAGAGCTCCATCCTGGCCAGACTCTCTCCAAGGCAAACCCTGCGACCTGTAAGAGACAATTGAAGAATAACTTCAGCTGTCCTGTCAGCAGATGTAACCTAAACAGTGATGGCTGAGCTCACAAACCTGCAGAAAATGGAATGAAGGCATCTCGCTTAACAAACTTTTTCTCGTTGTCCAGGAAGTGAGCAGGATGAAAGCTGTGTGGTCTCTCCCACTCCTTGGGATCATGCAGGACAGATGTCAAAAGAGGAAACACCGTGGTTCCCTGCACAAATTACAATACACAGGCTGCTAAAACCTTTCCCCACCTTGTATTTACATGTATTTTATCTGCATTTATGTTTTCCTACCTGCACTACCAAACCATCACCCTTTACACATAATTATCATAAAAAACAATCCACAATGCAGTTATATTTTGTTGCACTTGATGGCTTAGTGCAGGCAAGGTTTTTTAAAAGCGGTAGGTGTGTTATGCAGTCTTACCTTCTTGATAGAGTGACCCTGAAAAATGATGTCTTGAGTGGTTTTGTGAGGAATTCCAGTGGGAACAATGCTGATCAGTCTCTGTGTCTCATGGATGACGGCGTCAGTGAAGGGCAGGCTTTTCCTGTCTGCAACCTGCACCTGTCGGTCTCCTATGACTCTCGTCAGCTCCTCCTGGACCTCATCTGGTGTATAAAAGTAACAATAATTAAATTTCATCCCTATTAGAATCACTCAAACACTCCATTTTACAGTGTTTTCACAGAAATCTATGCAATCTTGTAAAAAAAATTAAGTGCACGCCAGTTGAAGTAATAGTTCTTTTTAAATTATTTTGTCAGTCTCTCACATTGGTGTAGAGAAATTTTGGCCCACTCTTCTTTACAGTGCTGCTTTAGTTCATTGAGGTTTGCAGACATTCAGTCAGGCATGGCTCTGTTAATGTCTTGTCATGGCATTTCATTTGAGTTTATGTCTGGACTTCGACTGGGCCATTGCAGCACTTTGATTGTTATCTTTTTCAGCCATTCTTTTGGAGAGCCCAGTTTAGGCCAATCTGGGACAGATCCTCTGACATTTGCTATAAAATACTTATGATCATTACAGAGGAGTTACCCAAGGTACCCAAGTCCTGTGACTGGAAAAATCAACTGCAAATCATCACTCCTTTAGCACTGTGTGTGAGTTTGTCTGAGGTGTTCGTGCTGACATACTGTGTTGGATTTGTGCTTGATGTGGTACTTTTGCATTATGACAAAACATTTCTAGTTTTGTCTTGTCAGTCAACAGGATGTTGTCTCAGAAGTCGGTGCTTTCTTTTGGCAACTATTTTAAACAAGCCGTACCTGTTCTGACTTTTTCCTAATTGTAGAACTGCAGAATTGTACTAGAATAAACTGGTTTTTAATTTGGGGTGCATTTACTGGGACTTCCACTCCAGGGAAGAATGAAGCCCTCAGGTGTGTGTTAGTCCACACCTGAAGGCTTCAGTCTAACAAACTATAAAAAATCTGTCTTCATTCAGTTGCTCACACTTGCTAATGATCAACTAATCGTGCTTTTGATTAGCACCTTATTGATTGGCTGCTACTCCTAAATCCCATTAAGGGAATAATTTGTGTTTCACAGGACTAAAAATAGAGTACTTTGAAAACTTGATTTTTCACACGGCTATAAATGAAGGTGACATTATTTATTTGATTTTGTTTTTGTGACAGTGATTTGATTTCATTAGCACATTGAAGTTAAATTTTTAGGCTCCTCACCCTGAATCTTTGGATATTTGGCCATAAGCAGAAGTCCCCATCTCAGTGTAGTTGATGTTGTCTCAGTGCCGGCAGCAAACAGGTTCATTACTGTCATCAAAAGGTTATCATCATGGAAATGACTGTTGGTAATCCCAGATTCCTTCAGACATGCAACAATAAAATGCCAGTAAATCTAATTCCCTTAAAACTGACAAAATGTGTACTTTGTTCTTACTAGGACACAGCATATTTGTTTAGTTAAGCAGGAATGTGCACAGCTTCACCCTGAGCTTCAGTTAATAATTTCAGACTACAAACTTGACAAGTGACAGAGATGCCAACCTCCAGAGTTTGCTTGCGGAGCAGAAAGGCATCCACAAAGCCTCTGCACATCTGTGGGTTCAGAGTCTCTTTTAAACGACTGAAGATGGCAAGGTTTTGTTTGCTACTGGTAGCAGACATTTTGAGCAGTTCCTTCCTGGCACCAATCCAACTCAACAGCGCTGGACACATGTTGTACATCTGTCAAAAATTATATAACCATCAGTAACTAGAATAATATTTTGTTATTTGCAACAACTGATGCTTTATGTGCTTATGAAAGTAACTGTAGAAATGACCTGTACTGAAGGAGAACCCAAAAGTTTAGCACCTCTGCTCATTCGATCTACCAGAGATGTAAACTCTGGATCATTATATTCAAATCTGCTTCCATAGACAATGGAGCAGATAATATTAGAGACTGCATATGATAATCTTTGGTTTGTATCAAAAGCTTCTCCTGTGACAAGACAAATGAAAGGAGTGAAAAACAAATAACAGTCAAATTAATCTTCATCAACCTTCATTAATTTTTTTAACATAAACAAATCTTACCTTTGAATTGCTTAAAAACTTCGATGAGGTATTGACATTCTTCAATTATTTTGTCCTCACATGCTCTCTTGCCCATCCCAAAGTCTCTCAGGTTAGTCAGTGCAAAGCGCCTCATTTCCTTCCATGAATCACCGTTGGACCACAAAACCCCTGTAATGAAGTGTGTATAGAGTTTAAATAATAATAATTTAAGACACATAATGTGGTTATGCCCATTTTTTATTTTATTTATTTATTTATTTATTTTACCATTTCCATGGTTTATTTGATGCACAATTAGAATTGGATCTCTGTCTCCAAACACTTCATCATAGTCAACAAGTGCCTCCTTCACTGTCTTGTATCCTGCCAGCACCACAACTTTTTGGGGTCCAAGATAGACAGTGAAGACTGATCCATATTTCTTGGACAGCTAAGAAGGGCAGAATATGTTGATATTTTGACACATATTAGAGAGACCCTGGAAGTTGTAAGAGCTGCATGGAAAGCTGAATTTATAAGTCAGCCTAAAAGAAAAGCAGCCCAATAGCTTTACCTCACCTCCAATAATGTTTTGTAGGGTCTTTTCAGGTTCATCTGAAGCAAGTTCCCAAACAAGGGAAGTGGTCTGGGTCCTGGGGGATCCTGGGTACTAAAGCTAGCAGAGGAGATTAAATAGATGAGCAGGAGGACCGTCAGAGCCCCCAACAAGAAGGTAGAACTGAAGGCCTGAAGAAAAACATTTAATATCCCCATGGTTTTCAAGTAAAATATACACTCTGTTACTTGCACTGAAAACTCAGTGACTGTGAAAGAGACTGGGATAAACAGTGCAAACAGTGTTCTGTGGTTATGAATGAGTAAATGATTAATGTTGCAGTTAGTACTTTGGTCTGTGTCAATATTATATTTTCAGGATGAAAATAAATAAATAAATAAAACACGTATATATGTGTGTACCTGATATCAACACAGTTATTTGTGTAAACACTTTAAAGTGCAGCATTTTTTTTTTACTATATTTTAACATTATTTGAAACTGAAGCTCATTTTTTTGTATTGACTTTTAGAGTTGAATATATGATAAATGTAAAGAGCATTTATATTTTATGCTTTTCTATAAGACTTCCAAACCGGAAGTATGTCATAAATCAGAAAGTACGGTAAATAACTTTTTATCCGACCTAGCTGAGTGTAGGATAAAACGGGTAACCAAGCAGTTTTGGCCAAAGTTACTGGGTAGCAAAGCAGGTTTCCTAACAACAAGGGCAGCAGGTAAATAAAGTGGCAATATCTAAGAGAAGCAATAAGGTTGGAGAAACCTGCATTCAGCTAAGACTGAAGAAGTCACTTGGATGAAATGCTTCTCCCGCTGAAAAAACTGCGTCAAGATGAACTGAATACACTTTAATTATGGGTGACTTAGACAGCTACAAGTGATGGTCATTAGTTTTTCTTATCACTAAATGAAAAAGTGAAGCGGACAGATAGAAAATGGCCCAAAGAGTCTGGTAACCATCAATTAGCCCCCCAAAATTATGAAAAAACAATTCATCTATACAAATAAACTTTGATATATATTTCAGTCCCTTTCAGACATTCTTCTTCTCTCAAAAGAGGTCACATGGAAGACCAACAATGTAACAGTAATGTGTTGTCAACCCATCTGTAAACTTCTCCAACCACCAGGGGGCGTGGCATGGCGGTACTTACGGTACTAAGAAAACTGAGGGTGTCTTCTTTCTTGAGGGGCAGTAATGAGCACGACATGCACTGATGCAGCATTTGATCTTTATTGTGGAGGAAAATGTTTAACATCTTACATCTTTATGAGCAAGCGAGAGAGCAATACATGGCTGGTGTAGCATTTTTAAGTAATCAAAACATTCTGCCTTTATTGTCAGTGAAGACTTTAAAGACAGCTATTCAGAGACTACTTTAAAGCCAACAGGCAATCTTTACCTACATGAGACTGGGCTAATAAAATCACCTTGAAACTAAAGGAACAATTGAACTAAACATTTTGTAAATCATGTCAGTGAGTCTGAAATTGTTGCCATGATGCCAGGTCTCTCTTGGAAATTAGATTTTTAATCTCAATGAGATTTTTTTTACCTGGATAAATAAAGGACTAATAATGATTAAGGACACAAGAAAATATTCTGCTAAAAATTGACTGGAGCCGTTTCACAGGACAACAAAAGCTTATAAAGACCATCTCCTCCTCACATTTGGGAAACAGCACATAATTTGTGAGGTGAAGGGCTGAGAGTAATGCCCACAACTGGAGTCAGATCCAATTCATCCTCTGAAACTCCAGGTGCAGGAGTGAAACGAAAATGCTGCAGGAGGGTGGTGAAGAAGAGGAAGAGCTCCATCCTGGCCAGACTCTCTCCGAGGCAAATCCTGCGACCTGCAAGATATGAATAATAATCAATTGTCCTGTGAAGAGATGTACCTCAGTGGTAATGGCTGAGCTCACAAACCTGCAGAAAATGGAATGAAGGCATCTCGCTTGACAAACTTTTTCTCTTTGTCCAAGAAATGAGCAGGATAAAAGCTGTGAGGCCTCTCCCACTCACTTGGATCATGCAGGACAGATGTCAAGAGAGGAAACACTGTGGTTCCCTGCAGATAACAGCTGATTTCAGAGATGCACAAAGTACAAAACGTACTAAGACAACACATAAAAACAGCACATACTTTTGATTTGGATTCAGTTTCAAACTTTCCCGTATTCCTGTGATTGCCCGTCCAAGATGGCATCAAGCTTCTGTTTTGTGCACTCAGTAAACTGATAACAACTGTTCCCACTCATGCTTACTCTTTGTGTCTGCACTTAGGTTTTTTGTAGCTTTAGAACTTTGGCACCTCAACTCAAAGTTAATGCAGGACGATCCAGGATGTAGTTACATTATCTCAAAACATGGCTTGATGCCGAGCAGATTCGAATAGATAACAATTAGTCTTACCTTCTCAATAAAGTGACCCTGAAAAGTGATGTCTCGGGTGGTTTTGTGAGGAAGTGCAGTGGGGACGATGCTGCTCAGTCTCTGTATCTCATGGATGACGGCGTCAGTGAAGGGAAGGTTTTTCCTGTCAGCAACCTGCACCTGTCGATCTCCTATGACCCTCCTCAGCTCCTCCTGGACCTCATCTAGAGTATAAAAGTAACAGTAATTGAATTTCATCCCTATTAGAATCCTCTGGAGTCTAAACGAGAACAGTGGACACATTACACTTGTGTTACACTGACAACAACACTCCAGTATATTTGATAAATGTATGCTTATTGTGATATTGCTCTTGTGACATGTGTCATGTGATTTCCAGTAAAAGAGTGTATTCAAGTTGTGGATTATTTGAGCTCCTCACCCTGTATCTTCGGATATTTGGCCATTAGCAGAAGTCCCCATCTCAGTGTAGTTGATGTTGTCTCAGTGCCGGCAGCAAACAGATTCATGACTGTTATCAGAAGATTATCATCATGGAAGTGACTGTTGGTAATCCCAGATTCCTGCACATAGACATTTAACAGCAAAGTCACTCAAATCATCCTAATCCCAAAGTTGGATGGGGGTTGCACAGTAGAAAAAGAAGTGTCAAGGCACCGAACAGTAACGAGGATGTAACATACACCAGAAGAATTACAAATGATCAATAGTGTTCGCATACATCTGCTGGGTGATAAAGGTATTAGGATGCAACACAGTTGTTTTGTCTTAACCATAGCTGAGCAGGATAAGGCACAGTTTCACCATCAGCTTAAGTTATTTATTCCTGAACACAAAGTTAAAAGATAATAGAAAGTCCAACCTCAAGATTTTCTTTGCGGACCAGAAAGGCGTCTACAAAGCCTCTGCACATCTGTGGGTTCAGAGTCTCTTTTAAACGATGGAAGAAGGCACGGTTTTGCATTTTATTGGCAGCAGCCAGTTTGAACCCTTCATTCCTATCAGCAGTCCACTTCAGGATTGATGGAAACATTTCATACATCTGTGAATCATCAAATATACATCTGTACATAAAATACCATTTTTCATTTACAAAGGTTATTGAGTTGTACCTTGAAAAAATCTATAACTCCATAAGTGTCACAAAGTAGGAATCAATACCTGTATTGAGGGACTTCCACCGAGTCTGACAAATCTGTTTGTTCGATCTACCAAAGATGTAAACTCTGGATCATTATATTCAAATCTGCTGCCATAGACGATGGAGCAGATAATATTAGAGACTGCACAGTTAATTGATTGGGTTGTATCAAACGCTTCTCCTGTAGCAAAACAAACACATACAGTCAGTATAAGTAATTGGACCATTAATTCAATTCAGTTCAAACAAATGTGATAATTTTTTACCTTTAAATTTCTTAAATACTTCAATGAGATGTTGACATTCCTCAATTATTTTGTCCTCACATGCTCTCTTGCCCATTCCAAAGTCTCTCAGTTTAGTCAATGCAAAGCGTCTCATTTCTCTCCATGAGTCACCATTGGACCACAGAACTCCTGAGAGTGGTCATATTTTAGTTTGACAGTACCAAAATAGAAAAAAAGCTAAAAGATTTTAAGAAAAAATATTATTCCTTTACCATGCTCTTTGGTTAATTCATGCACAAGTTTCGTTGGGCTTCTGTCTCCAAACACATCATCATAGTCTACAAGTGCCTCCTTCACTGTCTTGTATCCTGCTAGGACCACCACCTTTTTAGGTCCCAGATAGACCGTGAAGACTGATCCATATTTCTTGGATAACTAAGAACAGAATATTTTCATATTTTCACACACATCAAAGAAACCAAAGCTAAAAAGCTGCCTGGAGAACTGTATCTGCAGCATAGTTCAATTACTTTCTCACCTCCAGCAATGTTTTGTAAGGTCCTTTCAGGTCCAGTTGCAGCAGGTTCCCCAGCACAGGAAGTGGTCTGGGTCCTGGAGGACCCTTTTGTTTTTTTTGAGAATTGAAGCTTGGAGTGACGATGAAATAGACAAGGAGGATGACTGTCAGTGCCCCCAACAAGAAAGCAGAACTGAACGATTGGAGAAAGACATCTAATATCCCCATGGCTGTGAAACGAATTCTCTGCTATGAGTTCTTTGTACTGAGAGCCCAGAGACTTAGTGCTTTTTGCGTTGTCTGCCAAATTTCAGTCCTGTACTGTGCAGCATATAATACAAGGTGTGACAGTAACAGAGCAAAGGTCCTCTATGAAAGAAATAGTAAATCATTAACGTTGCAGTTGATACTTTGGTCTGTAAAATAAATGGAAAAACATTAACAAACCAACAAAATAAATTAAA